TATTGAGAGCCAAACAGAATATTCTGTCGAACACTCGCTATGAAAGCCCACGACTCCTGCGGCGCGTACGACACCCGACCCCTCACTACCACTCGACCCGACACTAGCGATATCTCATTCAGTATTGACATCAATAGTGAGCTCTAATTTTAATTAATAATAATTATTAATAGTAATTATAATATTAATATAATTAATGTATAAAATCCCATACCTTTCCACTGCCAACGGATCCGACGACAGCCAACAGTTCGCCGGGTTTTACACTCAAACTAATGTCCCGAAGCGTGGGTTCAGTCGTCTCCTAATGTATACATAAAATTCTGAAACACGTGTTGAAAGACACCAAAAATTCTTACATTATTCAAACGAACGTTCATTTTGTCGATAAAAATGCCTTTTTCTTCATTAATCGAAGTATTTTCCATTACTCCGAGATTTACCTCATTTTCTCCCGAAATGAACGCCTCGTTGTCTTTCCCTTCCCTCTCATCCAAACCACTCATCTCTTCGAGTAATAAAAAATCCTATTTTCAATAAACGAATTAAAATATTTCAAACTAAATATAATAAAACTTATTAAATTACAATATAATATACCTGCATACGATTGATTACTGATATTATTTCACCCAGAGCAGCAACGGCCAAGGGTACATTGTGCCCAATAGTTATACGAAGTGCATTAAAATAAGCAACAGTGGCGAAGGCGGTCTCCGCCGACAACATCCCACCCGTCAATACATATGTTAGAAAACAGGCGTATATTATAACCCGTATTATCACAAAATTAATCGACTGATTAACGCCTTTTAAAAAGTTTGAACATCGGATTTGTTTCACTTCGGACCTGATGTAAAGTATATTATTTGTGTAAAATAGTTTTTTGTATTATCGAGTTAATGAGTGGGAATCAGAATATAGTCTGCCCTCGTTATAAGGAACTTTGTATAAAATAGTGCTTCTTAGATCAAATTCCTCTTATATTGATGTGTGTAACTTATAATATTACGGTTTATATGTTGTAATGCGGTTTAATATATGCTTTTTTGTAAATGAATTATTTTATTGTTTTCAATTGATTATTGTGTTCACTATTGGCCTAAAATATCCATTGATTATTACTTTTAAT